CCAACACAGCACCCAGGGTGGTGTGGGGGGAAATATTGGGAGGAGGAGGATCCCCCCCCAGTTGGAAGTGGCCAAGGTTGAGAAACACTGTCCTGAGGCTTGAAGGACAAAACTTGAGAGACCGGTAATATTTGACTGAAAATTACAGCCAGTGGGAGGGTCATCTTTCCACACACACATACACACACAAAACCCCAGGCTGTTGTGATGAGAACCTTGTGGTGTTGACAGACTCTTGGAAAGTAGCAAAAAAATAAAAATAAAAAAATGGCTGTGCTGTTTTCTGCTTGCCTGGAAGCTGGTGGGTGTCCCCAGGCGAATAGCTATGCAATATTCAATCAGTTGAGGAAGTACAGTGCTGGGGTAGATGGGCTCACGTTGCCTGAAGCCATGGTTTCATTTACCAGGGGTTCGTGAAGCAGCCATTGTTCAACGGGTTCCAACTCTGCCATAATACAGCAGGTTTGCTTTTGGCTTCGTTCACCAACTCCTGTTTGATGAAACCACAGTTTCATTCCTTCGTGCTCAAGCAAAAAAAAAATTAGGCTACTGGATATCTAATTCAGGAAGAGAACAAAATGCATGTGCTTCTTTTATTTCTTTATTTCATAGATTCCCCAACCATGTTCTTTCAACTCAGGTCAGTTTTTCCCCAACTGTCCTCCCTCTTTTGAAACAAAGGCAAATATGCATCTTTAGGGCTTTGCATTTACTTTGGAGTGTAAGTAATCGGGAAAACAAAATCTGAATTATTTTCAAGTGTACTTACGCTTTTGGTCTCTCTTCTATGGATCCTGAAAATTCTGTTGCTATTTTTGCTTTTTGGTACTGAATGCACGTCTGAATAGGTTGTCTGGAACTTGGGATGGTTTGCGTTCCTTCTGTGCGTGAATTTATGCCATTTGAGCAGTTGACATTATGACACACGTGAAGGATGCGTGGCAACTAGTGGACTCCAATAGATAATGATACATTGAAAGTTTTAACTGGGATGAACAACTTGTGATCCCCCCACAACTTTGTGTGTTTTCCAGGTGGCTACTGCTAAGGATTCTGGGAGTTGAAGTTCATATATCTCTACAGTATCCTTAGGGGAAGGCATGAAGCAGGCTGCTTACACACTGCTTGAGGTCATGGGACCGG